TAAGGCCATAATCCATTATCCCTAGAATTCGAAACTGTATTAAATTCTTTAAAATAGCAGTTTTTTTTCTATATATAAAAACATCAGGCATTTTTTTACTAATTTTCCTTTGTATTATGAAGGAAAAGATGAGATGTGTTGTTTCCAAGTAGTTACATTTTTTTTTCTGTTTGATTTTGACAATATCCACATTCAAGTTATCATTCTTGCTGCTCTTTGGACTTGAAATATTGCGAGAACCATTAACCTACAAGGCAAAAATTAAGCCAAAAAATGAAGAGAAATATTAGTCAATATCATGACATAATCAATTATTAATCAGGGAACAATAATCACACACACACACACGCACATTCATAACGCTACATACATATACATACGTATACATATACATATAACCCCTGTATGTAGGAGAGTTTAAGGATGAATATTAAGGTTGTGTGGGTGATGATGATCATATAATATCTAGAGGCCTCTTGCAAGCATCTGTTCATAATTCTCCAGAGACTGAAGCCTCTGAATCATGAGATGTTGCCTGAAGTTCTTGATGAAGGCTTCTGCACTTTCGTTTATGTCTTCTGTGCTCTGTCTCTCCAGCTTCTTATTACCTTCCTCTTCTGCTCTGCTTCCAACCCCATGACTGTTTCTCACCATCTTCTCTGATCTCACATCGCTGCTTCCTTCTTCCTTCCTTCCTTGCTGGTTCTGGCTCTTCCTCATCATTCTCTCTCTCTCTCTCTCTCTCTCTCTCTCTCTCTCTCTCTCTGCTTCTGCAATATCTCTCTCAGAGACGACTCACAGCTTATATCTTGCAAATTAATGGAGCTGGATGCTTCATATATGAGCCTCATGTGCTTCCCTTATATATAGCCAATCCCGGGAAGGAGACAACATGTGAGTTAATTAAGTTTCAAGGGAATATTTGATTATTCTTTTCAATCTTTTTGTCTCAACCTTTGGACCCCGCAACCCCATACCCTGTTTCTTCTAGGTCCCTTCCTTTTCAAAAAAAGTTAAGATGTTGAGTAAATCATTAAAAAAGATATGTAAGTTTCTTAGTTACCTATGTTTGTGCTGTCTTTTATCACAAGTATTTAATGATTAATCATTGCCTTTTGAAGTAAGGTTAATTCCTAGAACGCAAGTCATAAAGGTGTCTCAGGTAAAAATTTGGAATCATCCTTTGCTTTCACGTGACTATGCATAACTTGCTCGAGTATTTGTCCAAATTAAGTTTTAGATTTTCACTGCTTATTGATGTACTCTTTCGGTCCTATATATAAGTTTGAAATAACCGAATTACATTTAACAAACTAGCAGTTAAAATTAGTTAAAAATAATAAACACGTAAGAAATATTTTTTTAAAAAAATTTGCTCTTATTTATTAAAAGAGTAAATGATAGGCAATAAATGAAAAAATGATGAAAAAGAATATATGAAAATAATATTGATAAAAGAGAGATATAGCAAACTAAGGGTAAAATAGAAAGAAAAAAAGCAATAAATACTCAAATAAACATAAAAGTAAAGTTTTTATCTTAGATTAGACTCATCTCCAAAAACAAAACTTATATATAGGAGCGGGAAGGAGTATTTTATGAGAGAGAAGAAATGTTTGACCAGTAAGGAATCAATTTGGCCAAGAATATTCAAAGTTTGAGGGGGTAAAGTTAAAAGGGAATAAAAATAACCCACCAAGTTTGAGTCTCTTGAATAATGGGCCATTTGGCTGACTTTGAAATTGTAATTACAAGTTTGAATTTGGTGGGTAGCTTGCCTGCAATCAGAGACAAGGTGGCATACATGTGCAATTAATGAATAATGGTAAGCTTAGGTAAGGATTAACGCTGGCAAAGAAGAGTCCAAAAAGCCAAGTTTTTCGGGTCAAGCTTAATCCAATTTTTTATCCACTTTTATTTAATCAAATTCAAACGTTGTCAGATTCACATGAAAAAAAAAAATCGATGTACATAGAAAATGAGTTCTCAATTTAGTTTATATTTAATTTCTAATAATACTCTTTTGGTTTGATTTCTAAGTCATTTTCAACATGTTTTTTTTGACATATTTATAAGTGATTTTCAATATGTATCACACATATAGGGAAAAAAACTTTAAATTAAAACAGCCTTAAATTGTATTAATTCTACATTAAAATTTAATAACTTTTTAATTTAATTATTATTTAGTGTACATTATACCCCATTAAAACAAAATTAACACAATAATAAATGAAGGACAAAATTGGACATTTATGTAATTTTTTTTCTTTCTATCTTTAGCACCAAAAAAATTTCTTTTTTCTTTTTTCTGGGGGATGTTTGGTATTAGCCAAAAGTGTTTTTAAAAAGCACTTTCTTACAAATCGAAGTAAACTTCTCTATATATATACTTCATATACCGTAAAATTACTTTTAAAACCCTAGTTTGATTTCTATCCAAACAGTCAAACACTCCCGAGAATGACCAGACAAATTTTCAAACAAAAGTGTCCTTTTTTTTGGGCAAATTATGCGCGCAGAGTCACAAATTAAAGTATGGATACATAGAAAACTATTCCCAAAATTTCCTCTAACAACTATAGGGTTGTCATCGAATTGAATTCATTAATATTGAGGAAATGCAAATTTCAATTATTTTAAATAATTAAAGTCTAACGAGGAATCTGGCAAGTTAGTGAAGATAGGCACATTGCATTAAGGCATTGTTGGATGCGGACAAAGGGTGATACCCATAATAAGTGGCATTGCCACATGGGGGTTATATCGTGGAAAATGACAAAAAGCAAAAAAAACAATCATGTTAATTATGATTAATTAATGATGCTGTTAATCACTATCGTTTGGGAGACACAAAAAATTGGAACATTTTTATTTTAATATTGTGTTAATATTATTTTTAGTCCCTCAAACTTGCCCTCATTTTGATTTTAGCCCTTCAAGTTTCAAACCATAAGTTTTGGTCCCTTAAACGGCAAAATGGTCCAAGTTTTTATCAGATGATAGCAACCAATATTTTAAATTAAAAGAAACTTGAGGGATCAAAATCAAAATAATAGTAAACTTAAAGGACCAAAAGTTTGTATTAACTCTTTAATATTTTACTTCAATTAAATCCGCCCTGTACATCCTATCAAAACGAGAAATAATAAATTACATTTTGCCTTCTAGTACATAGTTGTCATGCATATTAAACTTCTTAATTCATAATTATTTACTTCTTATACTCAAGAATCTTTCACACACAAATTATATCCTCTTCCGATCCTTAATATAGGATCTAATTATTGAATTGATTTTAGTCCTAAATATAAGACATATTTATCATATTTATCAATTTTCTCTAAGTTATCCCTATAGATACTCCATCAATCATAATCAAGTAGAAGAGAGAAGGAGAACATTAAAGAAGATGATTATGGTGTTTTAAGAAAAGCATGTCATATTTTTTATAATTAACTAACTTACCTAACTTCTTTAATCTAATCAAATTAGTTAAATAGGTCTTATATTAAAGACCGAAAGAGTATATAGCAGCTGAAAACTGAGAAAGTTGGTGGCGTACAAAAAGCTATGGTATAAAATGGTGCCTCATGGGTACACAATTGGGGATAAATAATTTAAAAGCTCCCGTTAGTTGAGAATGTGAAGCATGAATTTAACAAGCTTCACATTTGAATACATATATATATATATATATATATATATGATTTTATTTGTGTGGTACAGAAAACAGAGGCATCCATATACTGATAGGGAATAACAAATACTAAAATCCTTGTAAAAAGCGAATTAGATTCCATCTCACGCATCAGAAGGCAGTTCATAGCATATCCACTATCCTTTAACATATATGGAACCCCATCTAAAGTGAACCTGCCAGCACTGTGCCTTGCTAGCTCCATGTCCTACACCCCACCCAACAGAACCTACACACACATATATGTATATGTATACTTTACAGTGCATTAGTAACAAAATTGTGAAATTCAACAGTAGTTAACCAACGATAATGCATCTATGCCTTGGGAGAATCATATTTAAAACTCACTAGAATGCTGCCAAAACATGGTTTTTTATATTAACTTCATTGGAACCTTTAAAAAAGAAAACAGGTTAATATAATCTTTAGTTCCTCAAATTTGTCCTTATTTAGTTTTAGTCTCTCAAATTTCAAACTATAAGTTTTGGTCCTTTTAGGGGTAAAATGGTCTAGATTTTTATTGTATTATGGGGACCAATATTTTAAATGAAAAGAAATTTGAGGTACCAAGCTTACGGTTTGAAATTTGAGAAACCAAAACCAACATGAGGACCAATTTGAAGGACTGAAAATTGTATTAACCTAAAGAAAAAAAGAATCATATCTCTGTGTGAGAGCATATGTGCTGTATAAGGATATTAGGTATAGCGTCAGCCTTTCTTTTGAGAAAATGAGGGGGTAAAGGGAAGTGCCAGAAACTTCTGTAAGGGGGTCCTTTATAATGATAAAAGCTCATTATAGAGATCCTAAATGACTACCAATTTCTGTGAAAATAGAGTTGTAAAGTTGATGGGTTTGACTGCATACACATCCATAAGCAGTGATTCTGATTTTTGTCCACACATGAAGGTTATATAAACTGATTGAATCAGAATTGTTGTCTATGTGTCAACCAAACACACACATATGAACATATTCCTTATTCAGGCTTCAATGGTCCTTTATCCATCTTTTCACTTGCCTAAGATTGCAAGGGTACAGCCTAAAATTCCAAAGCATGACAGTTAGGATATAATACAGATTGATGTGCTTCTATAATATTTGCAAAGAATAAAGAATGCCACTGTGCCAGCCGTTCTTTTGAGAACATGAGAAGAAAGAAAGTCACAGAAATTTCTGGAAGAGGATTCTGATTATTATGAAAGCTCATCCCGAATCCCCAACCTAATACATTCCTGTGAAAGTTGAGTAGAAAAGTAGAAAAGTGGACATAGGTTTGGCTTCTTACATGCATGCATATAAGGTCCTTATGCGGAATAAAACAGAATTGCCGTCTATATGTGAATCAAACACACACACTCTTTTTTGTTGGGCCTTTAATGGCTATTACATCCAACTTTTTACTTGCCTGAGATTGTGAGGCTACAAGCCAAAGCACTAAAGCATAAAAATTACGCACATATATGTATATATAGTTCCCCGGGATATAACACATATTGATGTGCTTCTATTATATTTACTGAGAATGAAGAAGACAAGAACATTATGATAACGATAGTTATGGTGAATTTGCTTCTACAGTCTGGTTGAATCCAGCTCCGGTAACTTTACTCAGTGCAGGTTGCTCTGTGGAGACATAACAAGGAACAGGAAAACCAATTGAATCAGCAGAGAATGGATATGAATTTAGAAGGTATTGTCACTGGAGAGAATCAATCTCCTCAAATGTGAGTTTTCACCTTCAGAAATCTATCTGTCTAAAGGTTTGATCTATTTCATTCAGTCAAGTGTAATTCTTTAAACATGTGAGGGGGGGACTATTGATGAAAAACCACTTCAACTATTAGTACGGAGGTTGAGCTCTCCATAAACAACACCCGAATTGATAAGGGTTATGCCTTGCTATATACCATTCTTACCTTCCACCTGCTCGTATTTTTCAATTTGAGGATTCGCAAGTTGACTGCATTCAAAAAAGAGAAGAAAGAAAGTTAATTCAAAAACTAATTAAGTACAGTTCAACAAGATCTCTAAATTCCCCAAAAGATTAGTATTAATGCTTCAGATTAAATGGATAAGAAAGTTTGTGTCCGACCATCCTTCTGGACCAGTGAAATTCTGGCAAACTGGGGAGCAAGCAGAAGGCATCACAGGACCCCGAATGAAGCCATGAGCTTCCCAACAATAAGATCTCACCAATCCTCCACAGCAAGGCGCGAGAAAGATATTCTCAAGGTGTAAATCTTCGCAAGGAGAGGCATCACTGCATGCAAATTTTATAGCATTATGTGAAGCTGATGTTCCTCTGATATTGATGAAGGATATGTGCCTCACTTTCACAGCAGAACTCTGCATGATTCTCTCATGAAAGACAGTTGATGTTAACACATCTAGAACTAGAACCATCTTCCTCAGAGATTAGAGGAATAAAATTTCCTATGTACCTGATTCTGACATGTCATGGAGGAATCACAGTAATATTGATCTATTGTTATTGGATTTGATACTTGATCCATCAAAATATTTCTGAATGTGATATCGGAGGCAAAACCACCACCACCCTATCAATACACACTGAAACTGAGTCTTTCAAACATGAAGCAAAAACTTCAATACCACATTTTGTGTCATTATTGATGAATCAATGCTAAACGTTCAAAGAACTTTGTCTCAATACAAAAAGAAAAGAGAAAAAGAGGGCTGAGAACACTACGATCTTCTAAAGATTACCTGCCATGTCTTGATTCTTACCCCATTACCAGTTCTGTAAAGAAAAGCTCCATCCACTGTTACATCTTGCACCTTCTCCCACGTGTTGAATTTGCCCAAGCTACCGATACTGAAGAATGGTTTTTTCAACCAAACATCAATAGATCCACATGTTTCATGATACACCTCAATGTCATCTTGCTAATGGAAATATATTTGGAAAGGGAAGAAAAGCCTAGTAAAATTCAATTTTGGAATTTCTTTATTCAGATTTTAATTATTATTATTATTTACTGTCATCGATCTAAACATTAAAATTAAAGCAAGAGTTACTCTTACCTGATGCCATGGCCTGGACCACAGGATAAGTTTGTAATCCTGATTTTTGAGGAATTGGTGACTATGGAAATACAATCATCCCCTGTGGTGATAAGCTTTTTATCAAGCAGTCCTTGAGGATAAACAACCAAAACAAGTCTCAAATTTTGAAGTAGTAAGTGACCTGTTTGGATTAAGCAATCCTTGACCTCAACACCCTTTGAAGCACCAATATGAATTCCATCAGTGTTGGGGCTAAAGGCAGGAGCTAGCACTCGGAGATTGGATGTGATGACGTTCCTTGAACTAGTGATGGCCACGTGGATTTGTTGGCTATTGAGCAATTTGAGGTCCTTCACTCTGAGATGGAAGCATCTATGGAAAGTGACGGCCTGCACAGTGTAATTGTGGCTCTATCTTCAGCTGTAATGAAAACAGCAGAGAAAGTAATCATATCTAACATCTGTGAAACTGAAAGATCCATCTCTAACCGTTGGAGCGGCTTCACATGCCTGCAAAAACACATTAAAGTCACTTTTAGTCCTATACTCATCCTAAAACCTTCATAATTCAGACAAAAAATCTTATGTCTAGATGTGTCTATAGCTAAAGCGTAAATCTTTTATTCTATGCAATGGTCTATAGCTCATTTAACTCCAAGTTAAAACAGACATGCGGATGTAGATGTCAGGTGATTTATGGGGGGGAAATAGAAGGATATAAACCTTAGCCAGTTAATTGATGGTTTAACCCAAAAACTCAAAAGTTTATCTTCTTTTTGTTTTTTGGGGCGACAAGATTCAAATTCTTATCTTTCTAATTATATAACATTACTTTGTGAAATGGATATAAACAAATTTGTGAATAAAAGTCGCGTAAGAGGTAGAATACATGATTTGGGGTGGTCTTGCATGATCTGGACCACCAATTGTGGCCCATTCCATTGATAGTGCCACTGCCACCACCATCTACAGTGAGATGATTCAGCCATCTGAACGAAAGCCATTTCTGTCGATCAAAACCATTCCACTGCTCTGGATCTTTTGGTGCCACTATTGATCCTAAGATCTGATCATCCCTCCATCACAAACTCAAATCTCATTATTAATTGAAATATTCATTCTATTTATATCAGAATCTGCATGCAAATATACTTACTCAGACACGTGCCTACGTTATCAATTAATTGTGTGTGCGCACCTACACACACACACACTTCTCTTAATAATTCTTACCAACAAAGTGACCCTGGACCGACAAGGTCCCACAATGTCAAGTGGATACACCAAAAATGTTTTCCCATATGGCAACAAAATCTCTGTTCGTCCATGCAACGAGCAAGCTATTTTCCAAGCTTCTTGAAATGCCTGCACCATTACACATATGAGGAATGACGATAATAAAACTTGAGGTTTGTTTCTTCTTTTTTTCCTGAAACCATGTTCGAGCCGAGAAATATTAATGAAGCTATAGAAGGAAGACATGGCGTACCTTGGTATCATTATGTTGGCCATCTCCTTCTGCACCATAGTCAATGACAGAAAATAACCTTTTAGATCCCTGTGTGTGGGGAAGAAGATGTGGAATCCCAAGCATGAAGATAAGAATAAAGCTTGAACATGAACAAAATTTCAGGTTGCTCATCTCTCTCTCTCTGAAGACAGACCTGAAGTATCAGACTAGGAGACATATAGAACGATTTTGAAAACAAATGCCTGCTTATTATAGTTATAAACAGTTCATTTCACATTCTGAAGGCGCATTCTTTTTCTGCAGTTTCATTAAAACAGGATAACGACAATGCTGGGTCCCGAAAAGAAACAAAACCCTACGCAATGGCATTTGCTAAAGAAAGAACAGTTTCTCTCCACTGCACTTTCCATTTATTTTACTCCCAATATATAGATATATTTTTATAGAAATATATTGTTTAAATGTGAAAAAAGGAATAGTTAAATATGAATTGTTGATTGCCAATTTGACAATTCAAATCTCTATGGTGAAAATAAAGTGGAATGAAAAGTGTAGCAGTCTAGCAAGAGAAAACCCATATAAATCTCGCTCATAAAGAGAGAACCTTTTGTCCTTCATTTGTATTTCTCTCCTCTTTCTTTGACGATCTTTTTGTCTGGTGGTGTCAAATGATTGCGCAATGATTAAAATACTTGAAAATGGAACAGAAAGATGGAGCCTTGGTCATATTAATCACTTCCTGAATCTGGCCTTCTTTCCCTCTACTTGGCTTGGCTTGGCTTTCATACGCTCTAAAAAGTCACATCTGATTTGTAATAAAAACTCCACTTATTTTATAGCGATCTACATATAGGACAATGATCCCCGTCAAATTTCTCACTCGCCCTAAACTGAAAATGTAATGACTTGTTTTGGACCAATTGATGACATAATAAATAAGGGGGTTTCCTAGTCATTATTGTACCTCGTTTGTAATATGATAAAGAGACATGGACAGAAAATGTAAGTTAAAATTATAGAAAAAGATGATGGCCAGTAATATGGATTTGTATATAAAAATTAGAGGGATGTGCACATGTTGTTTGGGAATACGCAAGGATTTGGCAATTTATTTTGATATAGCAATAGTTTTGGTTTTTCGGTTGTGGATTAGGTAGCTGTGTCGTTAATATTGTTGTTAGAAGGAGGTGACATTTTCCTATAAAATTGCCTTTTCCTTTTGTTTCATAATAAGTATCTACACCCACTCCTTTTGACTCATCATTATTCAGATGCATCTTCACTGAAGTGATCTTTGAACCAACACAAACGTTCTATGTGGTAGATATAACACGGAAGAAATGATTGATATACACAAAAAAAGAAGAATGGATGCAGATAACTAAAAATGAAAGAAGATTAAGATACCCTTCTGTAACAATGGCATCTTGAAATTAAACAGGCAAAATCAAGAGATATTAAAATGTGTTTGTAGTATCCATATGCTTCGGGAAGAATCTTAAGGATTCTAGAAAGGCCTAGAATATTCAAGAAGTCACCAATGTCTTCTAGAGAGGTCGGGCATATGTAAGGGCAACACTAGCTAAATGAGTCTAAAAGAATTTTGTTCATGGAATGGTTCTCTGAAGAGTACAAGAAGAAGAGATGAACAAGAAAGTAGTGCACATGTCTTCAAAGCGTACACAGCACTTTTCTTTAGACTTAATTCACCCTCACCTATTCCTATCTTATAGGATGCAAGTTGGGATGTCTGACAAATTTTCTTCAAAATACAATAAAGATCTTTGAATATGGATTGCACTTCCAAAATTCAAGGAAAGACAACAATAGTCTTTACAAAGTGATAATTTAACTTTATTTCTGCGTGCACTCAAAGACAAAAGCAATGAGTTTGATTTTAGTGTTTGTGTTGTGTTATATTGTATATCTTCCAAATGAAGTGATGGTGAATGGTTTATATAGATCATGAGATAATGCCTTGAAGAGATACCTTTTGGAATAGTACCTTATTAAATAAAAAGTCACAACTTTATGTTGGTTCATGAACCAACATAATTTAAATAAATACAATGTATTTAATATGTAGGGTCTTAATATTGTAATTTCCTACATAACCCTTCATATAAATATATTAATATATATGAAGACACAACCCCTCATAAAAGTATATTAATTTATATGAGAACACAACCCTTTAAATAAATTTATTAATTTATATGAAGACAAAACCCCTCACATAAATTTATTAATTGAATATATTTATATAAAGACATGACTTTTTAAAAACACATTTTTTCATTTTAAAAATATTCCAATAAATTTTAGGAATATTATTTTAATATATTTTAGAGGAATCCACATATCCATATATACACACACCCACACGTGTATTTAGAGGATTGTCTTGTATCTTGGGAGAACATTCTAAAAGAATAAAAATAATAGAATTAGATTGATCTTTTTAATAGATGTATGAATACCTCTACCTCTACCCCTCTTCATTGGTAAATACTCCTTACCTCATTTATTATAAAAAAACAACTACCAAAATCATGTGAGTCAAAATGTTATTTAAATTTAGTTTAAAATAATAAATATGTATGATATATACATATTTTTATAATTATACTGTTATTTGTAAAAAGAGTAAATGAGAGATAATAAGTAGAAGTTTATTGTACAAAGATAATAAGTTGCATACATATTTAATAAGGAAAAAAGTTGTAAGATTGATTTAAAATTTCAAATAGAGATGATTTGTTTCTTGTATTTAGGGATATCACTATATATATATATATATATATATATAATTGCTTTTTATAAGAAGGGTATGAGGGATAATCCAATAGTTGAGTGCTTTTGTATGTGCAAATACTAGTAACATTCCCTCCAAACTCCCAAAATCGAGAGGATGATAGGCTTAAGGCCGACAAGGTTTAAAGAAGATGAAAATTCAGAGGTGTTTAGTTTGGCTTGTAATTTTTAAGTTTTACATTGCACGAATTAAATATATGAAATACGTTTTTGTCCCAGAAAGTGCAAAAAAAGTAATTTTCTTTAATTGATGATCTCAAATATTCCCTAACCATAAAACTTCACCCTTCATAAGAGAGCACTGCTAATGAATTATGAAACAAGGGTGATTAATTGGACTTTTTAGCTTTAAATTTATGGTCTACTATATAATTAAGGAAACCATTCCCTTCATCATATACACAAACACGTACATATCGGAATCAATGACATTCTTCATTTCCTTCAAGGATTCCTTCCGCTATCGATTTAAAAGAAAAAAGTATTCCTTCCAATGAAGGTCAGTTGGAATATATGAAGGATTGTGCATATGCCTCATAGTAATCCCACACCAACAGTTATTTTTAATAAAATTATATTACCCCCAACCCTTAATATAACAATTAGTTAAAGATCCAATTTTGTCTCAAAGATATGTGATCTCAATTCATTTTGTTTCCAATATTTATCTATTTTGCTCCCACATAATCCTTATATTAATTTCACATGTTAAGAAGTTTCCATCAAAAGGTAATTTTAGTATAACTTAGAGTATTCTCAATCTATTTTAGACTTTAAGTTAATCTCTGTTAAGCCAGGAGCATTAAGATTAAAGTTTTTCCAACAATTACATTTTTTAATATTCAAACTTATGTTTTCCTCTTTCCGAAAGTGAGACAACCTACCACATGATTAATAGAAACATTTTAGAGAAGACAATATTTATATATTTTATTTATCTAGTTTTTATATCCGGAATTAGAGGTAGTATTACTTTTTCTTTTGGGTAAACTACAGATTATAATATTTGACCAAAAAAAAAAACTACAGATTATAATAGTTTGGTTTTGAATAAAAATATTGAAATGTGGCAGGCCTATCCTTTAATATTTGGAGGAAATCAAGGATGGGCTTTAAAATGGAAGAAGAAACGCGGTGGTCCAAGTTTGCGGCTATGTCAGACAACATAGCCCACATCTTTTACTTTTTCAATCTTTGTTTTTTGTGGGCAAATATGTGACACGTAAATTTGTTGACCAACATCTATCTCTTCAACAAACAATATCCTTTACCAATCTATCATATTTATTAATACAAACTCTAATTTTTAATATAAAAGATAATTAAAAATTTAGTTTGGTTATAAAGATAAGATTATAATTTATTTTACCTCTAATATTTATTTATTTGCCTTCAAATAATATTTATGGTAATTGTACATGTAAAAAAATTATTAGCAAAAAGTAATTCAGATACACATGATTATTTTCAATATTATATATGATATTTAGTTTTGTTGAATCACATTTAATTATTATTGAGTAAAAATCGATATATATATGTGTGTGTGCGCGCGCGCGCATATATTTCTAACCTTTAAGCACTTTCAAAATAATCTATATATGTATATATTATTCATTGCTTATACATATTTAATATATATTACTCTTCTGGTCCTCAATATAAGAGTTAATTAACTAATTTTAATAGATTAAAAATATTAGTTAAATTAATTAATATGATATGTTTTTTTAAACACCTTAAATGTCTTTCTTAATTTAATTTCCTCCTTCCTTTTTCTACTTAATTATTGTTTGGGAGATATTAATGGGGTTAGCTTAGAAAAAAATTGATAAACTTATTAAATAAATCTTATATAGAGGACAAACACCAACTCTTTAATTAGATCCTATATTAAGCACCCAAAAAGTTTTATACTTCTAGTAGGGCGTAAGCTATATTTGGGCAACAAAAAAAAAAAGATAAAGCAAGATTTATTTATTTTTGGCCTGAATATGAAACAAGATTAGTAAATGAATTTCAACGGAGGAATAATAAAATTTAACAAGTTTTTAATTTTACCCTATATAATATATACACTTTTGAAGAGAATAATCTACATAATAATAAAAGAAGGTTAAATAATATATTCACATTAAAAATTTAGTAATATGACTTATGAATAATATGAAATAAATAAGACCAAATAAAGAGGGCAAAAAAATACCAAATGAAATGAAACTTTTTTTCTCCATAGCTTATAAATATGAGTAGAGGAATATAAGCAGAAGAATAAATATTTAAAATGAATATTCAACGAAGCACATGATTAATTAGTTGTGGTTTTGCGCCCAATCCAATCAGGAAAATCATTTTCTTATT